GCCTTGGCCAATATTTTCACCCATGCATGTGCCTTGGCAGCGCCATCGCCTTTAACTTCGCCTACAACTGGTCATGAAGCCACTATAGTGAGGTCACCCCTCACAACTGGGACCTCCACTTCAACCATCCTCGCTTCAGTCGAGTCAAAATGGACCAGCGAAAGATAAGTCGATAGCGTTATAGCAGCGCCAAAGATGTAAAACTTATTTTGTTATTTTTGTAAAATTGTAATGTAATGAAAATGCCTTTTTTTTGTTAAATAAAATCTGTTAAATTTTTGTGTTCTGTTTGTTCTTCTATCCTCTAGCCATGCCATGGTCGACACACAGCTACACGCCTGTAGATGTCTTCATGCCACCGACTGAGCTACCGGAAGCTAATGGAACCCCCTTTCTGTGATTGTGCAGAAAAGTTGGAATCTTCATTGCATTCCATCTTTTCTGGACTTTTTGCGGAAAGGAAGCGTTACAGCTTTATTGTTTTTAGAAGTATTCTCCACGGAGATTAATACACATCTGCATGCGCTCGAACCAATTTTAGAAGCACTTATTCTACTCGTTTGCTGGCAGATCCAAAACGGCATTTTTGAATGCGTCAACTGCTTCTTCTGGTGACTGGAACCTTTCACCACGCAGTCTGTTTTTAATTTTCGGGAAAGTAAAGAAATCGTTAGGACTTAGATCGGGACTATATGGAGGATGGTCCAATAATTCCACTTTTTCTTCCGTTAAATACTGCCTTGTTTTTTGGGCTGTGTGCGAGCTTGCATTGTCTTGGTGGAGGATGATTCTTCTTTTGGGGTTGATTTTTCGAAGCTCGGTGATGACTTTTGGCAAACAAATGGCGGTATACCAATCCGCAGTAACAGTTCTTTGCTCATTAAGAGGAATTGTTGCAATATAACACGCTTTTGAGACAAATGTCGCGACCATCTTTTTCGAAACACTTCGAGAACGGATGACTTTTGTTGGCTTTTATTCACCTTGGAACAGCCGATTGTCGTTTATTTTCTGGTTCATAACAGTAAATCCACGATTCATCACCACTAACATTGCTGTACACATTTTTTGAGTTTCCGGAATTGAAACGGTCAAGCGTTTTTTGACACCAATTAGCCCTGGCGGCTTTCTGCTCTTCAGTCAACAGGTGGAGTATCCAACGAGAAACTAGTTTTCTTACTCCTTATTCTTCATGTAAAATTTTTTGAATTGAGGTCTTTGAGATCTTCAAGGACGCCTCAATCTTCAATAATGAGTTTGCGCAGAGCATCGACGTTTTCCTGGGTGATCGCCGTTTTTTGGTGCACCCACCCTGGAATCGTCCCTAAGACTCATCCGCCCACGTTTGAGTTCTCCATACCAACGGGAAATTGTCGACTGATGTGGCGCTTCGTTGCTGAAAACAGACAGTAACTCAGCAAGGCATTCTTGTTGCGATAATTGTCTCTGAAAGTTGCAATAAATTATGGCGCGAAAATGTTCTCGGTTGAGTTCCATTTTTCTAATGACTTGGTGACACTTAAAAATTCACTGTAGTGAGAACACTGCACGTATCGTTGTGAAACTTTGAATTTAAGTTTACTAAAGAGTGAGGTTAAGATTCAGTACTGACGTTCGATCCGCGCGGCCTACTATGTTTCTATATGCAAATCTTAAAAGACAACCCTCGTACTTTGAAATCATATAGTGACGTCAATTGGGTGCGACATTAAACGATCGTAATGACGCCATTTCTAGGTTTTTTTTCTCGGTCGGCGAACGTCAGTAGTGCCGTAAATATGTTGATATTACGACGTCACTGTGTTCACTGGGAAGCGTTTGTTGGGTTTAGACCATTGATTCCCAAAGTGGTCTATGACAACCTGCAAGGGGTCTACGTCAGCGAAAAAAAATTTGGGGGTCCATGAAATGAATATGGGGGTCCACGATAGTGGATCTCAACACATACACTGATAGAACCTATTTACTTACATCATACTATCTTATAATATCAAAACATATACATTATTTATAAAAGTACCTATGAAGTAAAAAAATTATTATATATGTTTATAAAATTGTGTAAGTTGTAGGATGTTGGTATTCGCTTTGTGGTCGCAATACATTTTGAACTTGTAAAAACCTGAGAGTCGCAGTCTCAGAGCTTCGCTACCTTGCACTGACTTGTTCAATTCGTCACTCTATAAATACGAATGTGGGACAAATACGTGTATTCGTTTCCTGAATCTTGAAAAGGAAAGTGCTAAGAAAATATTTTAAAAAATATAAACAGATAGTATATCACACAAATTATAGTGAGTCAGTGTTATTTTGTTGGAGAGTGCTGGAGAAAAGTACGTACATTATTTTTTTATTAAATTTTAGTTTTGTACTCGTAGTTAGCAAAGATAGATAAATTACGCCAATCATGACTTTAGTTAGTAGTAGTTAAATATTCAATCATGCAAAATTACACGAGTACTCCTCAATAGTTTCTTTTTGAAAGTTTTAGCAATCGGTATTATAGTTACAGTGCAATCTCCGTAATTCGAGCTAATTGTTGCAAGAAGAATTATAGAATGTTTTCGGAAAAATCAAAAAATATTTTTAATATACAGCTGCTGGATTTTCTGTCTTATTTAAATAATTTAATTTTGCCCACAGATGACTGATGCCATGTCCGAATCTAAAAAGAAATGTAGACAGTACAGTGTTGATTATTTGAAATTTGGCTTCATTCCATCATTGCAGGACAAACAATCGCCTATGTGCCTTTTATGCAACAAAGTTTTGGGCAATGACGCTATGAAACCATCGAAACTGCAAGATCATCGGAGAAGATGCCACCCTGATAAAACAGAGAAAGATTTGAAATACTTTCAAACACTCAAAGATAAATTTCAGAAGAGACCTACACTGGACAGAATGTTCGCTTCGACGTCACAAAGAAATGATGACGGTTTGCGGGCGTCTTACGATATCTCGTTACTTATAGCAAAATCCGGAAACCGGCATACTATCGGAGAGAGGTTAATTTTGCCAGCCGTTGAAGAGGTTTTAAAAACTGTTTTACACAAACCTGCATCTGATATCATTAAAAGAATTCCCTTAAGCAACAATACTGTTGAAGGACGTATTGATGAAATGAGTTCTGATATTGAAAGCTTCTTATGTAATTATTTGCAAACGACCCATTTCTCTATACAACTGGACGAGTCAACTTTACCTCATAATGCAGCATTATTATTGGCATATGTTCGTTTTATTATGAATCAAGAAATCTACGAAGAACTGCTCTTCGCAAGAACTTTGATAAACGGCACTAAAGGTGAATCAATATTTCATGTTTTGAAGGAATACTTCATTGAAAAAGCAATCCCTTTATCAAATATAATATCAGTAGCTACAGATGGAGCACCTGCCATGGTTGGACCGTATTGTGGATTTATAAGCTATTTAAAACAAAATGTGTCAGGGGTGTTAGCAATACATTGCGTCATCCATCGACAACATTTAGTTGCTAAAAATTTGAGTGTTGGATTGCATGAATCACTTCATTTAGTCATTGATGCAGTAAACCGAATTCGAAGCAACGCGCAGTTGTGTGAAGAAAATGACGAACACTTTCATCAATTACTCCTTTACACTGAAGTACGCTGGCTGTCGAAAGGCTTATGTTTGACAAGATTTTTTGCACTTTTTGAGACTATTTTAGCATTTCTGGATACTAAAGATAAAATTCAAAAAGAAAATTTAACGAAGAGTTTAAATTTGATTAAAACAAAGTCCATCTTATCAGCGTTTCTTGCCAGAGTTAAACTAATGAAGCAAAATATTGGACAGGGCGAATTTTCTCAGTTCCCCAATTTGTCACAGACAAGCTGCCAGGAAGACGACGTTTCAACTTACGTTCAACATTTAAATGCCCTCTATTCAGATTTTGAATCTAGGTTGGAGGATATTTTGACTATGGTAATACCACCGTGGATAATTAATCCATATGATGACATAGAAGAAACGAATGTCATAATACAAGAGGAACTGACTGAACTAAGTACAAACGATGAACTTAAGGTTCAGTTTAAAAACGGATATCAGCAATTCTGGCTGCAAAACAACATACCCGTTACTTATCCCGTATTATGGAATATAGCGAGGAAATTTTTAATTTCCTTTCCATCGTCATACCTAGTGGAAAGGGGGTTTAGCGCTGTTACCAATCTCCTAACGAAAAAAATAAACAGACTGAACATCATTAACCGAGGAGATTTAAGATTAACCCTTACAAAATTGACGCCAAATGTTGATAATTTATTATTAAAGCATCAGGTTCATCCTTCTCATTAAAAATATTGACTTATTGCTTATGTTATTTTATTTATAGTTTATTTTATGTTTATTGGTGTCTGACCAATAAATGCCTTTATAGAAAATATTTTTTTTTATTATTCTGAAAATTCAGGGATAGGTACACACTAAAATTCGTTATTTTTTTTGCCTATTTTTAGATAACTTAAACGTATAAGAAGCGGAATTTAATCAAACTAACAGTGAAATTATTGTAGAACATACGTTTATGTTATAATTAGTAAACGAACTCGCTTATTGTACTATTTTAAGTAAAAAACCTTTTTTTATTATTTTTCACTTTTTTTTATTGTGTCTTTCTTATTTTTTTTTCAATGCGGGCACTTATTGGTCAGACACCTGTTTATTTAATGTTACGTATATTTTACATAACAGATACAAAATTTTATTTTGAGTAGTTTTAATTTAAATTCAATTAATAAATGTGTAAATTAACATGTGTTTTTACTTTAAGTTTTTAACACTAAACTTCACTACAGTTAGAAATTTACAGGAAATCAATATCAGGTAAGTAGGGGGTCTACCCAACACGGAAAAACACGGCAAGGGGTCTACGACACAAAAAAGTTTGGGGAACTCTGGTTTCGACCAATGCTACCTGAGAATAGTTGTACACAACATGCTATGACTTGCTTCATCTTAAAGCAACTTACCCAGTTATAATACTGTTGCTGCCTGCTTTCAAAATGTTCCATCCAGGCGCCTAAGTTTTTGCATGTGGCTGGCGTCAACTTCCTCCATGCGGACGGCAACTGTCCATTGAACAACGAATATGCTACATTGTCCAGTACACTGTCCATTCCTATTTCACCACACAGCGCCTTTTGCAACTGGACCAGGGTTCTTCTCATCACTTTGATCAGCCTGTTGAAGCGTTCCAATTCTTGTAATAGAACGACAACTGTTGGAGACATCATTCGTTGGAAATAACGGCGTACTTTCCATATCTCGTACTCTTCGGGAATTTTTTTCAGGATATCCTTGGCTACGTTCTCGATGAATTCTTCGCGACTTATACCTTCGCCAGATGCAACTGGAATTTTTTGCTCAATTCTGTATCATGCCTTTATGGGGGTAAATGAAGCATTTACTTTGAAGTAAAAGGTACAAGATAAATGTAGAAATAAAAGGTCTTGTTCTAATTCATATTCATAATCTCTACCTCTTCCTTGCAAGCAAATGCTTCGGGAAAATAAAGTAAAAGGTATGGAGATTAGCGATTTCGACAAGATATGACATGCAGCGTGCAATCAACGCGTATGTGGTCTGTAACTGATGGGGTTGATCTTATTTGTCTCATAATTAAAAGTAGTTCGCACGTCAATTGATGTAAAGAAGATCCATCTAACTTATTTGTGCAGCTATTTTAAAGTGAATAAAATATTTAAAATGACTGACACCGATAGTGAACAGGAAGTTACCGCAGATGCCCCTAACGAGATGATGTTTATCGCTGAAAAAGTCCAAGCATTTCCGGAGATTCTCGAGAAATCTCAAGTTCCAGCGATAGAAAAGAAGAAAACTGCTGCATTAACTGAAACCGTTAAGGAATACGTTACTTTATTTGGCAAGGAGATGGATATTAAAGCTTTTATGAAAATAGTGAACAATAATCCAACGTTCGTTTGCCTTACTGAAACGTGGCTCCATTCCAACGTGTCCGACTCTTCCATCAATTTGCCTGGATACTATTTATACAGAATGGATTCACCACGCACTCCTGGTTTTGGTGGTGTATGCATTTATGTTCGCACGGAAATCGCGTCGGCTTTCTCGGTATCTCCCTCTTTCAGTCCTTTCGATGGCATTGACAATCTATTTTTGGAATTGAGGTGCCCAAATTTCAGCTTCACGATAGGCTGCATATATCGGCCACGGCCCTGTTTGGGAGACACTCACCTGTGCAGTCTCATTTCAGATCTCTTAAATAAAAACACCAACCTTTTCATAGCTGGTGACTTCAATCTATGTGACATTAGCTGGCCTATGTCAACCATTCCTGAATGCAATTCTTCTTCTGCTGCTTACATCGACTTGCTACGCAACTCTAGTATATCTCAACTTGTTTATCGTCCAACGAGATTCAGGGAAGGACAGACGCCTAGGGCTCTGGATTTGATATTCGTTAACGACGCCGACTTTGTTTCTAATTTAGATTATTTGCCACCTTTTGGCAAGTCTGACCACTGTTCACTTTTATCTTCTCTCCAGTTCAATATAAATAGTCGTTCTACAACCGATAAGTTTAAAACCATCAAAATTGTAAACCACGATGCTTTTAACCAAGCCCTGTCTGAAGTCAACTGGCCTGCTTTGCTTAACAACCGTAGCACCCAAGATATGTGGGACACTTTCGCTCAACGAGTCCTAAGCGAAACGGCTGACAATACTGTTGAAAAGAAGGTATACTGTGACCCCTCAAAGCCCTGGATCAACTCTAACATATCGAGGATGCTTCGTCACAAGAGATCTTTGTGGCAACGGTTTAGGAGGAGTGGCCATTCACAAGATTACGTGTCTCATCGATCCTTTTCTAACCTCCTATCTAGAACGTTACATAATGCCAAACATGTTTATGAACGAAAACTCGTTACCTCCAAAAATAAGAAGAAGCTGTTTCGGTATCTAAGTACAAACCTGAATTCCAAAGTTTCATCACCTCAGATCCGCGACGCTGACGGTCATCTCCACATGGATGCCACCGAATCTGCCAACATACTGGCAGAGTCCTTTAGTGATGACTTCGTCGATGAGCCTAATGGAGACCTTCTACCGACTACTATCTGCCATAGGTGTCCCAACAGCCTTTGTGAAGTTGAGTTCCTGCCTGAAGATGTATTAATGCACCTGCGAAATCTGAAGACCTCTTCCTCCCCTGGTAAAGATGGGATGACGGCTGCTGTACTTAAAAACTGCGCTTCAGCACTGGCCCTACCATTAAGCTTGATATTCACATCGTCTTTTAGATCTCATACCCTACCCTCATGCTGGCTTAGCGCTTCTGTTACCCCTGTATTCAAAAAGGGCGACAAATCCTCCGCTAAAAATTATCGACCAATAAGTCTCGTTCCTATCGCCGCCAAAATAGCTGAAAGAATCATATTAGATAAGCTCCTGTCATTTGCTTTCTAAAATGACCTTATCCCTAAGAATCAGCATGGATTTCTCCCTGGTCGATCAATAATGACCAACCTTCTCCACTCTCTCAACGATTGGACTCAGTATCTGGACACAAAGACTCCTGTTGATATAATCTACTTAGATTTTTCTAGGGCTTTCGATCGCGTACCACATAGAAGGCTTCTGTTTAAGTTGGAATGTATGGGAATAAGAGGCGAGTTGTTACTGTGGATTAAGGCTTTTCTCACCGGGAGGACTTTCTCTGTGCGCGTCAGTGATAGCCAGTCTCACCTTCATCATGTAGCAAGTGGAGTTCCTCAAGGCTCTGTCTTGGGGCCAGTGTATACAAGTGACCTGCCCGCATTGATTTCCTCCACATGTTCAGCTTATGCCGACGACACCAAGATTTACAATACTGTCGTAAATTATCCTATGCTTCAACGAGATCTTGATATTGTTTGTCAATGGTCAGTCAGTTGGCTTTTACCCTTAAATCTAACTAAGTGTTGTGTCCTTCACCTCGGGAAGACAAATCCGCGATTTACATACAAGATCTCTGACCACAACATCGAAGCAGTTTCCAGCCACACTGATCTGGGCGTTGTAGTCAACGATCGTCTTTCCTGGTCATAGCATATTCACCACGTTACATCAAAAGCCAAGAAACTTCTATACATGCTGGAGAGATCTTTCAAAGGATCCGATGTCAACACTTGCGCCTACATTTACAAGGCATTCGTGAGGCCAATTCTTGAATTCGCTGGCCCGGTATGGGACACTGTGCTTCTGCGCGATAGAAATCTCGTCGAATCAGTACAGCGTCGGGCTACTCGTATCCCTTTTGAAGCACGAAGACCAAGCTATGAAGATCGCCTTGAATTATTCAACCTGACCTCATTCTCTGAGCGAAGACTTCGTGGCGATCTTATAGTTACGTTCAGGATACTTCATGGTTTGATGGGCACCAACCTCATGCATCTATACCGTCTGTCGCGCAGCAATCTACGGGGACACAGCTTCAAACTGCATAAGGAGCCATTTAAAACAACAGTCCGATAGAGGTTTCTTCCCAACCGCATATTCAACACCTGGAATAGTTTACCTGAAAGTGTGGTTGGTGCTACTTCAGTTAATAGCTTCAAAGTGCAGTATAATAGCTGGAGGAGTGTACAAACTTTATAGCTATGAACTGTCTTTTTTGTATTTTTTTCTATTTGATGTATTTGTGTTACGTGTCTGTATACTATATTTACTGCACGAGCTTATAGTACTGTGTACTCTGCTCATGTCAATTATCATAATAATAATAATAATAATATGAAAACGCGACTGAAAAATAAAACTGACAAAAATAAAACAGGGAACAAGCCCATTCGTCTTTTGTCCTGGGAGAAAGTTATGTTATGGATGCGGACATAAATCCTGTACTAAGTCGTGTACCAGGTGAGAAATAGATTCAGGTCTTTACTATTACCTTGTAGGTACTTATCATGCATGTATATTTTTATTAGGGGCTCTTGCAATTGGCGTGGCAAGTCAACCTTCTTTACCTACTGCAAACGATGACATTATAGTGGAAAACGACGCTCATCAGATGATTATGCCTCAAGTAGTAGCTAACAAAAAGCGATCCTACACATCGGTTGAATAGGTTGCTGCAAACAAAATTCCTCCGAAGCCTACCTTTGCTTCGGGCAAACAAGAGTCTGACGAGACGAGGCAGTTAACTACAACCCAGCTTCAACGATTAGTTTTAGTTGAACAACTGAAAGTTGCTCGTCTCCAACAACAACATTACTCTGCCAAGCTAAACAATTTAAACGAGGCTTCAAACGAAAAAGCACCGCAAGAGTATGTTGTTGTTGGAGATAATATTTATCGAAACTTGTAAATAGACGTATATGTAATATTTATCATTTATAACAAAATAAACGTTTTTTTCCAGTTCAAACGTGTATGTTTATTTTTAGTTTAAGTAAATACATCTTTGTACGTTTGAAGTAAACGACATATACATAGCATTACATGAAAGTTTTAATCCTAATTATACACCTATATTGTTATTGGTAATAAAACTAAGCTAATTCCTCTCGCCGCCTTTGTCCTTGTGCGCGAATAGCATCTACATTTTCATTCTCTACAAATGGCAAGTAATTGCTCAGCTATATTGTGCAACACAGCACACGCAATTATAACTTTTGGAATACTGGTCAGTTTTACTTTGCGTCCATACTTCAGGATAGGAAATCGCCGCTTTACTTGCCCAAATGTATGCTCAATCACAACTCGCTCTGATGTAAGCAGCCTGTTGAAGACTCTCTGATATTCCTCGTGGGGGTCGGTGTAAGGAGTCATAAGACATGACATTATACCATACCCACTGTCCCCTAGAAGAATAGTGTTTCTTGTCTTTTTCATGACTTCACACACTGCCGAATTTTTCCATATACGAGCATCATGGACTGATCCAGGCCAACTTGCATCTATACTAGTTATAACAGAATTCTGGTCGCATGTAACCTGTACATTAATACGGGCAAAACCTTTTCGATTTACATATTCGTCTCCAAATTGGGCTGGTTTTCCTTCAAGACGAATATGCGTGCAGTCGATAGCTCCAATAGCTGTGGGAAAACGGAACCTGGTCAACCATTTCTCTTTGGCCTGCATAATTTGATTTTCTGTATTTGGGAACCTGTTAAATTCTCCGGCTTGTTGTCCAATGCGCTCTAGCACGTCATGAAATATTCTGGACACTGTGGGCTGCGAACATCCCAATTCTTCAGCTATTCCGCTCTGAAATCCAGGGTTCGCGGTATTGTTACCGCAGAAATATTTTCATTTTCTGCTAAGGTGACTGGGCTGCTCCACGAGTTTCGAAATCCATGCCAAGAAAGTAATTTGCTAACCACC